AAATCTGGTTGTCCTGACAAGTTGGTGGGACTTCTCTTTGAAGACTATCTCCAATTCCACTTTATTTTAACTCATAATTTCTTACATGGCATTTCATCAAATGCCTTCTGAAAAATCCAAATAAATTGCATCCATCAATCCCCCTTTATGATCACTTCAGTGGTTCAGTTGAGGAACTCTATTAGATTAATCAAAATACAACCTACCTTTGACAAAACCATTGTCTCCCTCCCAGCTCATATTTTTCCAGCTTCCCAGTTACTCTGTCCCTGATGCCAGTCAGGAACCTCGGCGTTTTGTTCGACCCTGAGCTGTCCTTTCTCCCTCACATCCGCACCACAACTGGCACCGCCTTCCATCACCTCCGGAACATCGCCAGACTACGGCACTACCTCACCCCTCACGCTGCTGAAACCCTGGTTCACGCCTTTGTCACCTCAAGGCTGGACTACGGGAACTCTCTCCTCGCCGGCCTTCCCGCCACCTCCCTCCACAAGCTGCAGGTCATTCAGAACTCTGCAGCTCGTGTACTGTCCCGCACCAGGCTTCGGGACCACATCACTCCCACCCTCGCTCGCCTCCACTGGCTCCCCATCCCCCAGAGGATTGATTTCAAGATCCTCATCCTCACCTACAAGGCCATTCACGGTCTTGCTCCCTCCTACCTCTCCAACCTACTATCCCCCTACCTACCCGCCCGTACCCTCCATTCCTCTGGCTCCGGTCTGCTCCACGTCCCCCGCCCCAACCGCCCTACCATCGGTGGTCGGGCCTTCAGCCTCTCAGCCCCCAGGCTCTGGAACTCCATCCCCCAGTGCCTTCGCCTTGCTTCCTCCCTTTCCTCCTTCAAGGCCGGTCTCAAAACCTTTCTCTTTGACCGTGCCTTCAGCTCCCCTCTCGACTCTCTTCCCCCTCCTCGCTCCCTCCCTTCCCTCCCCTCACCCTGACCATTTCCCCCCTGCTCGGGTCATGACCCAACTGTGCAGCGCCTTGGGACGTCCTCCTGACGTGAAAGGCGCTTTATAAATGGAATCTTGTTGTTGTTGTTGTTGTTTAGTCATTTGTCCACAAGATGTTAAACTCAGTGGACAATATGAGGATATGGTTTGCCCCTTCCTTCCTTTTTGAATAATGACATTCTTGGACACGATTTTTGTAAAATTCAGGACATGTCCAATAAATCTAAGGGTATAACTGATGAAGCCCTTGGTGGCTGGATTGATGTTTGATATCAGCTAAGCCAGTTCAGCATCAAAATTCCAAGAACTCTTTCTTGTTCAGAGAGGGCAATTGATGTGATGTGATGCCAGGTTTCAATCTATCTGGACACAGCACAAATGAAATATCTTTTGTGTACATAAAGTTGGCTTTTTATTTTAATAATTTATCAAAAACAATTTCTGCTAGTATGATGAAGCTGGATCTTCTGAGATTTCTGTTTTGTGCCCAAAGAAGCACTTGATCAGACCGGGTTGAGATTATATTGATACCAAGGAGAGCTCATAGAGAAGTCAATCACGTCTTACTTATTTATAACTAAGTTTCAAACAGCACAATCTTCACGCCCCTTCTTCCTGGTGGCTCAGTAGCTAAAAGGCACAGCAAAGGACAAAACCGTTCACATTAAACCATGCACGTTTTGATCCTAATCTGTGCTGAATTAATCAATGTAACAGGTGAGGAAATGGTTGGGGGCTATAAACGGCCTCAGTAATAATAATAATAATAATCTTTGCATTTGATACAGCACCTTATCATATACTTGAGACGTCTCAAAGCGCTTCACAGAATATACTGTAAAGTGAATTTACTGTATATTTTGCGGACGAAACATGGCAGCCAATTGCGCACACCAGTGTCCCACAAACAGTCGTGGATTGAGTGAGCAAATTATTATTATTTTTAAAATAATTTTTTTGAAGGGGTTATTACCCTCAGAAAAGCGATCTGCCAATGACTAGCAACTGGGTTCCTACTTACTGCTAGGCATGTGGAGTAAGGAAACTTGCCCAATGTTTTGTCCTACCCGGAAATTGCTAATTTCATTACAATTTACAATATCCTCCTGAAATGAAAAGCATTAAATGTAAATTTGTATTGGATAAATTGCCTAAAATAGTGGTGTGGCTGGAATGGCTAAAGTCTGTGTATACCAGCAGCAGGAAAGGAAATCAGAGCTGGGCTGGATAGCAGCGGCTACTGTCTGCTATGAGCATCCACCAGGAAATAGCAAGTCACCATCAGGACAGCATCTTTATGATAAACATGTTTTTGTGAATAGTTACTATATCCTGATACTCTGGATGTTTCTGCAGCTGGTAAATTCACCCACAAAGATGTGATAAGGCACTATATCAAATGCAAGGATTATTTTATTATAAATAAACTGAGACTGAGAACTTGTTTGGTGCCATGTGTGAGGCCTGAAATAGCAGCAATCACACAAGGAAAGTGTAGCCACCAGGAGAAATTATCTCATTATTGCCTCGGGATCTTTAACACCACCTCAACAGGCAGACATGACCTCTGTTTAATGTCTCATCTGAAGGACGGTATAGGACTCCCCCCAGTATAGGACTGGAATGTCAGCTTGGACTGTGAGCTCAAAGTCCAGATTTTGGACTTGAATCCACAACTTTGTGAGGTTATTCCTGTAGACGAACAATATGTGTATTGATTGAGAAGGTATTGGGAAAATCCTCTTATCATTTACCAAGTTGATTTTTTCCTTCTTGTGGTTTGTACAGCTCATTCATCATTGCTGACTGCAAATAGACAATGTTCCCCTCTCTCAGCATTTATTGTGCTGCTGTGTAAACCAGAGTTCAGACAGCAGATGCTGAATTTCACTTTGTCTGCCTGTTTAGTCCTTGCCATTTGATCACAAAAGTACAACATGATGGATCTCTGCTTCACATAATTCCATTGATCTAGTTGTTCCAACATTATGATATGAAATGTACATTAATTAGTAGGTTCGTTACAATTTTTACTATAAAACACTCCAAATTTTAATACTTCAAAAAACCCTGTGAAAACTAATCATAAATTGCAGATAGATGTCAGTAGCTTCCACTTCTGTTGGATGTTTCCTGGTTTTGTCCAATGAAATGTATATTTAATTGCACCATGGTTGATGTTTGGCAAAGTGAATTTTTTTATTTGCATGTGATCGACATCACAATGTTTCTTCACAAAATAACCCTGTGATTATTAAGAGTCAGCTTCTCTTTTTCTAAACCTTTTTGTTAAGAATCACTGAATGTAACATGACATCACTTTCTCTCCCTCAAAAGAATCTCAAGATGTTTAAATATAGAGGAACTTTATTATGAATTTAGTGTCCAACCCTGCAATTGTGCAGCACCCCAAGACCCTAACCTGTGTGAAGGGTCCTATGTAAACACAAATAGTTGATGTTGTTGTAATGCCTCACTGGTGTCCCATGAATCCAGGTTAACTGGACGTACAGAACATACCGGTTTCCTGAGGTAAAACAGATCTGCTTCCTGGGTTTCAGGTCAGATGCCATTTACTGTGTGGACACATGCTAGGGCCTATGTGCTATGTGCTATTTGCTATGTTATGTGCTATGTGTTAATGTTATGTGCTATGTCCTATGTGTTATGCTATGTGCTAAGCTATTTGCTATGTGTTGTTATGTGCTATGTTATGTGCTATGTGCTATGTTATGTGCTATGTGCTATGTGTTGTTATGTGCTATGTTATGTGCTTCGTGTTATGTTATGTGCTACGTGTTATGTGCTATGTGTTATGTGCTATGTGCTATGTTATGTGCTATGTGCTATGTTATGTGCTATGTGCTATGTTATGTGCTATGTGCTATGTTATGTGCTATGTTTTATGTCCTGTTATGTGCTATGTTATGTGTTATGAGCTATGTTATATGTTATGTGCTACGTGCTATGTGTTATGTTATATTTTATATGATATGCGTTATGTTATGTGTTATGTTATATGCTATGTGTTTTTTTATGTGCTATGTGTTATGTTATGTGCTATGTGTTATGTTATGTGCTATGTGTTGTTATGTGCTATGTGTTATATGCTATGTGTTATGTGCTATGTTATGTGCTATGTGTTATATTATGTGCTATGTTATATGCTGTTATGTGCTATGTGTTATATCATGTGTTATGTCCTATGTTATGTGTTATGTTCTATGTACTATGTGCAAGAAGTGTTGCTGATGTTAGTTTTTCTATACTGAGCACAACACTATATTGATATTACTTTGCAATAGAAGTGAAGTCAGCGCCACCCCAAATGTTTGTTTACACTTTGCTTGTAACAGACTTTGTGCTGTTGGACGCAGAGGGGCACATTTTAACGAGGTTTCGCTGCATCTTCAACATACTTCAGCCAGGCTGATTTCACTGCTGAACTGGTGTAATGAAGAAGGAAGTATGTGTTAAGATTCAAGATGATTTTATTCTTTTGTCCAAATTTTTTCTCCCTAAGTTCTTGCTTGAAGGTAATTGTTTAAGTTGCTATTCTTCACTTGTGAACTAGCCAGTGAGTGTCGGCTGTTGGACTACTGTATATCCTCATGACCCAGTGTGGTTGTGTCCTGACCCCTAGCCACACACACATGCTGCCAGCAGAGGTCATTTGAGAGCCACAAATCTATTACCTCGTGGGCTGGAGAAGTGAAGGCCAGTTACAGCAATAATACTCACTGCGGCCAAGTACACAAGAACTGGGAAAAGCATGGCCCAGTGCACCAACCATAAAAGGGTAGGGCAACAGACCAAACAAACACCAATTCATTTGAGTTCAGTACAGGGTTAGCAATCTGGAGTACAGATCTGGTTGAAAGGGACCTGGCCATAGAGGCAATGCACAGCGTATCTCCAGTGATAGAGCGGTGAGATATGAGGAATAATTGGATAAATTAGGTCTTTTGAAAAGAGATGAGAGCCATTACATACTGTGAACCATAATCATGTTGGAAAAGTGACTGAGGGAAAGGAACTTACATGTGTCTAGGTGCTTCCCAAGGTGGTGAGTCTGACGGAAATACTGAGGATTTTCAATGACAGGAATCCTGGTCATTCCAATAATCACAGCATCTGGTCCAGCATCGATTGATGAGGGGGTGATTATTCCATGATTGATGTGATGCAGTGGACTTGCAGAATCCTCTTCACCACTAATCACTGCCACAGGACCTGTCACATAACAAAGCCAAATGGATTTGAGGATAGACTGACAAAAAAGGCCACAACACTCCTATCCACTCACAAACCATCAGCATCTCTCAATACTTCACAAAGCCATTAGCATATATACCACCCGTTCCCACCCAGTATTCGCCATGTACCACCCAGATGAAACTTATTTTTCTTTGAATAGTGCCATGGAATCTTTTAATGTCCACCTGAACAAGCAGAAGGGATCTTAATTTAACATATCATCCGAAGGACGGCATCTCTGACAATGCAGTGCTCCCCTAGGACGACACTGAAGTGAATCATAGAATCTCACAGCACAGATGGAGGTCATTCAGCCCATCGTGTCTGTACTGCTCATCGAAAGAGCTATCCATTATCATCTCACTGCCAAGTATCATCACTGTGTACAACCACTATGCAAAGCATTACCTGTGCACTTGCTAAATGCAGCATCATTCTTCACATCCGCATTGTCAACTGCTGTGTCGCAAGAGATGCCATCGCAGTCATTGAGATACACTGTTCCATATTATCCTACCCAGCACTGAACCCCTGGTGCTGCGGTTCAGCAGAAGCTCCATAGAACAATTGTGTTACAACTCTGTCCCATAATCTTTAAAATCGCACAGAGTCAAATCAGCAATTTAGATTCACATAAGCACATTGTCCCAGGAAGCTCCTGGGATTACGAAGGATTTCAAGCCAATATTATTTGTCATCTAAGAATATCTGAAAAATATGATCATCATTGGGAAATGTACCACTATTACTAAGTCAATTACTACATTTTCCCCAATGAATTAGTGAGAAATTTGTTCACAGTTGTACTTTCTATCACTAGCTGCTGGGATCTTAGTATCCAGTAGCTTCCCTACAAAACCTAAAGTGTATTTACCACAATTGTTCACATCAGCTATTTAACACGTGAAAGCCACAATTTAAATCTACAGTATCGTACTACAACAAATATTTCAGTCTTGATTTTCTGTTCTCATTTACACTATATCTTTTACAAATTACTTAACTCTCACTAGATTCACTAAACTACACCAGCAAATATGAAATAGTATGATAGCAGGAGTAAAATACAAAAGCTAAAGCATGAAGCATCAGCCAACAACAACAACTTGCACTTATATTGTGCCTTCACTCTAGGGTAACCTTTCGAAGCTCCATGCCATCAGCCTCAGAAACCACAGAGTTCTTCTCAAGAGCATCTTCACTGGATTCAGAGGCCAAGTCGAGGCTCCCCATTCCACCTTATGTGTTATAACATTTTGTCTTACATAATGTTTAACTGTAGAAAATTCCTAAAGTCAGTATTAATTAGGAAGCCGTTTTTCTGCAATTCAGCCAATTTGTTCCATCCAGCACTGAGCCACTTGCCTTGCCGTGAAGTTGGCTACAACAACGACAACATCAAGATTCCATTTATAGAGCGCCTTTCAAGTCGGGAGGACAACAACAACAACAAGATTCCATTTATAAAGCGCCTTTCACGTCAGGAGGACGTCCCAAGGCGCTGCACAGTTGGGTCATGACCCGAGCAGGGGGGAAATGGTCAGGGTGAGGGAAGGGAGGGAGCGAGGAGGGGGGAAATGGTCAGGGTGAGGGGAGGGAAGGGAGGGAGCGAGGAGGGGAAAGAGAGTCGAGAGGGGAGCTGAAGGCACGGTCAAAGAGAAAGGTTTTGAGACCGGCCTTGAAGGAGGAAAGGGAAGAAGCAAGGCGAAGGCACTGGGGGATGGAGTTCCAGAGCCTGGGGGCTGAGAGGCTGAAGGCCCGACCACCGATGGTAGGGCGGTTGGGGCGGGGGACGTGGAGCAGACCGGAGCCAGAGGAACGGAGGGTACGGGCGGGTAGGTAGGGGGATAGTAGGTTGGAGAGGTAGGAGGGAGCAAGGCCGTGAATGGCCTTGTAGGTGAGGATGAGGATCTTGAAATCAATCCCCTGGGGGATGGGGAGCCAGTGGAGGAGAGCGAGGGTGGGAGTGATGTGGTCCCGAAGCCTGGTGCGTCCCAAGTTAAATATAATTCAGTCTTCAAGACTAAATTGAAGGCATTTCCATAATCCTGAATGTCTTTAAATTAAATTACAAGAGAGAAAATGGTTCTCCCAGTCGGGGAGAGCGAATGCCAGGCTTCTAGTGCTTGTTTGCAATGCAGCCTTTCAGAAAACAACAACAAAGCAAAGCAGACCAGGACAGAAATCAGCCCTGGCAATGTATGTGACTGCCTTTTCCCAAAACAATACTGCACTGGGACATTAGTCAATGAGAGTAAAATCAATTGGCAAAATGATGCAGCGCAACACTTGGTCCTGGCCAAGGTTAGAAGATATCAGATATCGATAGAATCACCTATTAACTCAGTCATAGAAAAAATAATAATAAACCTTGCATTATGTTTTTGAAATGTCTCAAAACACTTCATGACTGTATTTGGAGATGAACACAGCAGCTAATTTACGCACAGCTAATTTATGTCTCACAATCAGCTGTGAAGAGAACAGACAATTTTACTAAGGAATTGTTGGACAGGACAATAAGGGAGAAACTCCTTCTCTTTTTGAATGGAACCACAGGATCTTCACCATCGATTTAAACAGACAGACAGGACCTCAGTCTAACATCATGTTTGACAGGGCAGCACTTCTCAGCATTGCCTACATCATGATGTGGGTCCTTGAACCTCAAAGTCAAATATTCTGACTCAAAGAGTGTAACTGAGCCAGGCTAACACATCAAATGGTGATGAGAATCAGTTAAACTGCAGCTTTACACAATCAGAACGTAATTGGGTTTGAACATTTTATTCAGGGATTATTTGTGTTAGTAATCTTACAGAAACAAAGTAATAGCAATCAGTACTATAACAGAAAGATTGAATTCATCCAATGGGGACATGCAATTCAAGCACTGAGGAGAGATATAGGAACATGGCATTCAATAGGTTTAATTATCAATAATTAGTGTTTACTTATCGGGGAAAAACTCAAAGTTAATTACCTAGAATTATGTTTATTTTGTTTCATTCAAATTGTTCCTGAATTCCAACTATTTAAATTTGCAAAATGTTATAGATGTGTGAAATGTTATTGTGTAAATTAGGTTCTAGCAGATGGAGAGGGTGTGTTAGAATTAGTGAATTCTGGCCATTTATAGATTTTTGTAGAATATCATGTCTAATCTGGTGGTAACGAAACCAATGGAGCGATCCCTTATTATCCTAATTTCAAGCACTTTCCCATACTCTTTTATATTCTTCCTCTTCAAATGTTTATCCAATTTCTTTTGAATGTTGTTAGGGCCAGTCGGTCTGAATACAGCTTGTGGCAAAGCATTCTGTGTCCTAATAAACCTCTACATGAAAAGTTTTCTTCTATTCTCCCTCTTAACTCTACCATATAAACACAGGAGTTTAAATGGAGCACAAAGCTTTCGGCAATCCATGACTCTGCAGACACAGTACAATATTAAAATTAGTTTACTGTAACAAATTAAATTACTGTTGTACATAATTCCCTAAATTAGCCACGCACAATTGATAATAATGTTCTAGCTGGAATGTCTCAAGTAAGAGCTAAAGCTGGGGTGTATCTATTCTATGGCTACCGTCTTCATCTGCAGTTTTATTTGTGAATGTCTCCAAGTGTTAGTAACTGCGAACTTTATTGGAATTGAAAATTATAAAGTGATGTTTCCTGTAGAAAGCTATGGATTATAATAAAGTATTCTTAAATGTCCTGGATCTGTCATTACTTGGAAAAATTGCATGTTATGAGCTGTGCGTAGGTCAAAAGGCTAATCTGATGAAATGCATTGAGATCTTTCAAGTGCACAGTGAAGGGATAAGGTCCTCCTCCCAATGGCAGAGGCACAATGGGAGGAGAAGGGGTTGGCTTGGCTTCCAGCTCATCAGTCATCACAATGGAGGCTTTAGAAGAGGAGGTTTTTAGGTCTTGGTTTTCTCATCCAGACACCACCATTCCACAAGGCTTTCATTATTGGATTTACTTTCAAAATGGGATAAAGAAATAAAGTATATTTGATTATGAAATCTGTATTTATCCATATTTAAAGGATTATATTGATTTCTAAAGGAGCTTTAAGGTTCATTTAATTTTTTTTCGATACAATTTTAATCTGTGGGTCAAGTACAATATTAGAGGTGACAGAATCTGTGGAAAGTATATCAGATACACTCTAGTAAGTTTAAACCCATCCACACAGTTGACTAGAGGCTGCTATTCCTCTTTAATAATAATAATTTGATAGAGCATCTATAATGCCAAATTATCTCAAAGTGCTTTACAATAATTACTGTTAAGTGTAATGATTGTGTATGTGTAGGTGATTGTCACTATCACAGGATTTGTGTGCAGGAGCGATGTAAAGAAAAACAATTGACTACAGTGTCAATTTTGAATTAATGTCACACACTTCAGCTACAGACCCCCACCATCTCTCCCATTTGCTGGTGTCCCTAAATTTTTTTAAGTATAATCTTTCAGGTTACACTTTATTTCAGCCAAATGATTGTACACTTTATTATTGCTTAGTTTGAGGTCAGCATATCAGGCGTAACCTAATAGCGGTGTTGTTGTGATGAGCAACAGTCTTCAGTTACTTTACCATTTGGCAAAATGTTCAGAGAGGATTTTAACTTCCAAACATGAGAGAAGACATTCTTAACAGAGACACTATTCTACCAAACAGAAAATATATTTATAAACAGTGTCAGGGAGTGTCACGTGCGTATTTTCAGAGCTAAACAAATTCTGATATGAAACCTTTCTTATAGAACCTAGAATATTGAAAAGCTTCAGTAAAATCTTCAGCCTGGGGAGCCGGGAAATTTCCAATACTGTCTTTGCTTTTGCCAAGTGGTCGCTATGGGAACAACTCGTGCTAGTTCTGTCCATTGAAATAATTACATCACTTCTGATCATTATTCTTTTCAGTAGGTAAAAAAAATATCAATGATTCATTCAAATGAAAG